AAATCTAATGAACAGAAGTACTAAGATTGTTACAGACAAGGAAGACCAACGAACCGAATTAAATAAAGTATTTTCTACTCTTAGGGATAACAACTACCCAAAAGGGTTTTTAAAGAAGATTACTAAAAATGAAGGAAAAAATAGACTAGAAAGCATACGAAAAGAACGGAAGTAAACCGTAGTCATACCTTACCGTAGTGAAACATCAGAAGAAATCAAACGGATTCTAAACAAACATGATATAAGAGTGTATTTTAGAGCGAATAACACATTAAGATCGACATTAGTGAAAGTTAAGGACAAGTTAGCAAAGGAAGAACAACAGAACATTGTGTATGAGATTCACTGTCATGACTGTAATGCTACTTATGTTGGAGAAACATCCAGGCAATTAAATGTAAGATTGAAGGAACACAAACAATGCTTGGAAAATGTTCCAAAATCCTCGGTCGATTTAAAGAAACTTGAAAATAAGTCAGCGATAGCGTTACATGCGTTAGAAACAGGTCACAAGATTAATTTTGAAGGGACCAAAATACTTCAGAAAGGTTTTAACACCCATAAAGAAAGATTGACAGCAGAAGCGCTGCATATATGGGCGAACAAGAACAGCCTGAACCGAAAAGATGGTATTCAGATGGCAACTACCTGGCAAATTTCGTTTGACAAGTAAATTTGGAACCTATCTCTTGTTTAAACCTGTTTTTTAATATCACATGCATCGTTATTATTTTGAAAGAATTCAATGAGTTTTTTAAACAATACAATTTATTATTCACTTGATATTGTTTTACTTGAATCTTCCCATTGATGTTTTAGGACTGAAATTGATCAGTCTCTTATTGGCATGTGTGAAGCGAACGGTACTGAGTTCGAGTCCCAGAGAGAACATCAACTCTGAGATGCAGGTACATCCAGCTGACGAGTCCCAAACAGGACGAAACGCGCATCCTGGATTCCACTGCTAGCCATTATCCATCTTTGCTTATAATACAATTTATGTTTTGACATGTACATCGATGTTTCATTATCAATTTTTCATCTTTGAACTTGAACTTTATTTATTCCTTCATATCAATCTCTCACACATACATACATACCTACACACTCACACACATACGATTTGTTACTCAGTTAAGTATTTCCATGTAGTTGAATTTCATCCACATGATTTCTAGTTAACTGACTCATTTATCCTATTTTACAAAAAATCAACATCCAAATATGATTGGTTTAACACAGTATAATCCTGATTGTTAAAAGCTATATATTTCTTTGATAATTTTGATTTTGATTATTACCCTGAAGAAGTCCAGACAAGTTAGCTGGACGAAACGTTGGGATTAGTTAAATTTCAATCGCTGAGAATATTTCAAATATAATTTTCACATATAATGACTTCTCTATACTAGGCGCTCAATTACTGTCAAACTATTCGTTCTAATCTTGACGAATATTCGTATAAATACTTCATTTAGAAAATAGTCCAAAATTGTCTTAGACTTCATTGTTCCTGCATTTCCATACCAATTGGTTTGCTGTCCTATTCTTTCCTTCTCGATCTTCTGCTGCCAAATATTCTATTCCTGACTAGTGTTATGTACTACTTATAAGTACTTATAAGTAGCACACATCACAATACTAATACTAATAATAATCCAATATCAGAATCTTTTCATCAAAAATAACGTTCGTTTTACTTCAACGTGAATCTAAATGAGCTATATACCCACTGATCAATTCCAATACTTGAAATGTGTTTGAGCATTGGATTTGCAAGCTTCAATACATAAACAGCGGATTTGCCAGATTTAATATATATGCAAACTTTTGTGAGTACAGTTGTTTTTATTGATTTACGATTTTTTTCAGCGATTATTATCTACATGATTCTATATATGTATTTGGCTAATAGGTATGATGCTCTAACGTTTGACAATGATTTTCTAATCTCTTCTTAAATTGCTGTAGAAATCTCTTTTATATGAATCTAGAACAGAAGCATGAAAAGAAGCTTTAGTTCCATTGTTAGTTATGGTATAGGAAATAAAAATATTTCTAGGTTTAAAAGTAACCTTGATATTATAGAAGCTTCTAGAAACACGCAATATTCAATAACAAAATCAGAAAATATCCGATCACAAAATAACATAATTATCATACTCCAGTCTTGGAAAGTTTTTGTTGAAAGAAGACTGAACGCAGCATTTCAGACATTTTAATCTAGATTTTCAGGACTTGTTCAAGCAATACAGACATTTGCCGCCGTATTTAATCAATAAATATAAACTCCACTTTATCAAAAATTACGTTTGAATGTTTGAACGACAGAATATTGTGATGAAATTATATTGTCGTATTTAAACTACTCATGAGTAGATGATTACTGTAAACGGAACTTTATCTGATGTAAATCAAATTGATTGAAAGGTTCACAATTCTGAGTCAAATATTTCATTCGGATTTAAATTTTACTAGGTATTTTTCGTAACTTACTATGTAAAGTTCTTAAATTAATATCATGAAGGATTCATTTCCATTCATCAGACCCTGTTTATCAGATAATGTTAGTGGGAATGGTCGGAGTCAAAAAGAATGTGGACAATTACTGCAAAAGAATTTCAATTTCTGAATTCAGTTCAATTGTATAGACAGTTTTTTTCCTGTTGAAAAGCTTTAATAGCAAGCATTTAATGTTGTAGTGAAATTAAAATAATCTTTAATCGTCATTTTCAAAAGTTATGTAACATGTCTAAGGTCAATACAAGATGTTACCTTGTTTCATTTTACTGATTTCCTAATTTATTCTTTTTTGTGAATGTAGATGAGCAACCGGACGTACTACCATGCGAAGTCCTCAGATAGATAGTTGGTGCATACTTCTGAGGAGTTCTGTGCTAGGAAGCAGCTGTCTTGTGCTCCTTTTGATTTTGTCCATGTTAGGTCAGTCTTGTGACATAAACTACGAAATCCATACTATTAGTTTAATATAGACTTATAACAGCAGCTGACGATCACTCAAAGTCAAACCCATGGCTGCCTTCAATTAATCAATATATCTTAAAGTAAAAGAGAATTCAGTTAGGAGAAACCGATTCACTGGGTCATATAATTACAGAGTGTCTTCATAAAATATGAAAACTAAACTTTTTGACACTTCATGATTCTTTCAATTCTGTTCTATCACAGTTGCTCTTTGTTTCCACCCTTGTTACCTTCAGTTCAGTCTTCTTCTGACAGGCATTCCGCTTCCATCTGCCGTTACATATTACTATATCTGTTAGTATAAGTAGTATGCAACACAATATGTATGATGCTTTCCAATTGACTTCGAATATCTAGTTACTATTTATCACGGATTGATCTCATTTGAGATACCATTGAAAATCAAAGGGCAGTGAGTAGTTATTTCGTCCTAGTACGGGGCTCCTCAGCAGTGCACATCCACAAATCCACCAGGCCTCAAACTCGGAACCTCCAGGTCATGCAACGAACACGTAATCATTGGAAACTATAAGACGTCATTCAATGGTATGATTTTATGTTCAAACAACTAATCATACAGAACGAAGATCATCCAATGCTATTTGAGACAAACGTTCCACACACAACATATTTGATCTCCATCAGTCATAGCTGCTCGCTAAAACTTCAGAAATGTTTTAAAGTATGTCATCAGTTAGCTAACTATCACCTATGAATTTTAAATACTCAATTGTGTTCATATATATACTAATCTGGTTATATATTACTTCATTATTAGTATACAGAGCAATAAAAAATTGCAAACAATGATTTAGCAAAAAATTTACTTATTTAGTTGATTGAGAAGTTCTTTACCATTTCAGTAATCCAAAGAAATAAACTTACCTAAGTCTACCACTAATTGTTGTGCATAGGCCATCGACGAGAGATTTCCAAGTGTCTCTTTCCTGAGTTCACTTTTTCAGGTGCTGCCAAGTGTTGCTATTTAGAAATTGTTATATCTTGGAAAACTGATTCTTCTTGATACTACCGCGTATAACTGAGCACTAGAACATCAAAACCCTTTCAAGTCGCAGTAAGAAGACATGGTTTGAAGTTTATTTCAATGATCTTCAAGAAGTTGCCTAATTCAAATGTAATAATTTTCAATATTTAACCTTTTAATAAATGTATTAATCCAGTAACAATTTACATGAAGTACACAATCAAATAATCGATTATTGTGTACTCGTTTATGTTTCTAGGTTAGTGAATTTTTATCGATATGAGATTGTAACAAAAATGGTAATGAATTCTAATTATGATTTAGTAAATAAATATTTTAGACAAGAAAATGATGAGTGAATTATAGAATAATTGAGTGAGTAATTGTGGTGTAGTAACAGAGCTGACTGATTATATATATATATATTATATATATATATATATATATATATATATATATATATATATATATATATATATATATATATTCCATTTCGGATTGGCCACACCATCTGTCCAGTAAATCAATGTCTGTATATATATATATGTAAATACGTAGCATAGTATGTTCGATGTAATATACACATCATTGCATATGCTAGTCTCATACAAGCCATTTATTTAAAAACAAAAATCAGTTGTAACCAATCTATATTTCGTTTGGTGAATGTATTCCATTCATGTACCTATATAAATCTATGCCAGATAAATAAATATTCTTCGAATTATATCTGATATTATTCCTAAGTATTATTATCATAGAGCAGAAATAAATTTATGCTGGTTTATTTATTATGTAATTTTAAATTAATTACTCACATTTGTTACTTACATGGATACTAATAATTATTAATAAAATTAGAAAAAAAAACTAACCAAACTATTTTTTGTTTCCAATCCTATTCAATGCAATAATCATTAGTAACTATGGCTACAAAATTATGATATGAAGTTGATTTAATCTATTAATTTTTTAAAAAAAGAATTATAACTATCATTAATAAACAGTCTTTAATGTGTACTTTAATAATATGGTAAGTTTAAAAGTGTTTTCATTCATATATTATATGTAATTATAATAAAGTTACTCGTTTTTTTTTTTATGAAGCCATGATCTAAAGTTTAAGTAAAGATTGTATTTTATAATTACAATCGACAAAAAATTGGAAATGTGAACTAATTTAATTAGATCCTCCTTGAAAATAGATGTCATGAACTTTAATTGTTAATAATGCTCACTTAATTGAATCATTCGATTAAAGAGTCTATTAATTGTTAGCTCATTTTACATCTTTCTGATCAATTATTTATTGATTTAAACATATAAAAATTGGTACAAGGAGGTACCAAATAGATATGAGCCACATAAATCATTTGATTTGTGTGAGGGTGCCAGGGTGCTTAAACAGAAGCAGGTGGTTTGCTAAGGGGGCCACACCCCGAACCTTCGACCTAAAGGCCTAATCCACAAGGCAATGGAGCAATGTCAAGATCCTGGAGCCCATGTGCATCATTGGTTTGGAATGAGGGTTTTCCAATTCCTCTAGGTGGACTCTCCATATCCACCAACCCGTTAGAGCGTCTTTCGTTCACTTTTCGTCATCTTTTTCCGGGGCCCGTTATTTTGTCGTATTTTAGATCGGACGGTGTTTGTTGACGGGTTCTCCACTTTAATAGCCCGTGGATCTGACTCCAATATGAATGTTTGTTATCGCCTATCCTCGTATATAATCATTGACTCAAATCGTGTCCGTCAATAGAGGAATTAAATAAGTCAAATAACAAGAATGGACTTTTGAATATATATACTTTGTATATGATGCGAATAGAATACAGAGAAGCGAAACGACGAGCAGTCAAGCACTAATCAATATTTATAGGCACACAAAAATAAGTTACAGACATGTGGGAGTCATGGGATAAGAAGTGTACACACACCTACGCGCTCATATAAGAACAGTCAAGATTGATCAGCGAATAATTAGCAAGGTTAAAATGTGACTCAAGTAAAATGAATAGAATGGGCTGTCCGAAAGCTTAGAATAAGGTATATGGGCTTAATATAATGACCGACACTACACTCTCAGTTTCGTAAACAATACCCGTGGTTCGAAAATGCAGTGAGTAGGACTTTTGTGGCAGTGATTGTATGCACGTAGCCATGTGAGAACATTTGGAGGAAGAATGCTGACTCACCTCACTTTCGATTGTACTTGGGTATTTGGGGGCTGTCTGATCAATGAGTAACTCTTTTGACCATTAACAAAACGACTGTGAATTATGACTGCTAAATCTTAATTCTTATCGGTTTAAAACTGAACTCCTTCTATCCTCAATAGCCAATTTGAAGATATACATAAGAAACCGATAAATGTTTTATTACTATGACTCAAAATCCATAGGATTATAAACATTAATTACACGATAATACCTCACTATATATATGAGATTATATTGTTCAGTCATTATTCAGTCATAAGTGATACAAAACAGAGGAATAGACAAGTAATTAATTGATGGTAATTTCGAGACAGTTCAACTTATCAACAGTTAACAATTTAAACAAAAGTAGAGAAATATAAAGGGGAAATATAAAAGCACCCTAAGCCAAAATATTGGATATACAACAAAAATATGTATAATAATTCATATAGAATAATGATAAAAAGTGTCACCCCTTTCCATTAATATACTATGATATAATAGCAAAGTACTGGGTGTATATAAGTGGTCATTGGTTCAAAATGTTGAATGACTTCAAACGATAACAAAAACAACTGCACATTTTATTTTAATCTTGAATGATAATTTATGAAATCTAGGTAGAGAGTTTATTATTGATTTCTTTCATTTTATCACAGTAATTAAGAAATGACTTATTGATCTCATCAACTGTGATCGATTGATTATTTTTGTTTTAAAGCTTACCATAGTACACAACAGGAATTCATTTGTTATTCTTGTTGTTGTTGTTGTTGAGTGGTTTTGTAAATAAATTCAACGATTAGTGATTATTATTTGATAAGATATTTTGAAGATATTTTCTAGCCCAAACAAATTTTAGTCATAGAAAAAGAAATTCTAGACAAGTATTTCGTTTTAATTTTAAATTCACAAATGATTCGTCGTTAAGCGGTGACCAATATCTCATCTGTCCAGTCCCTACTGCTGATCAGATTCTACAGATTAAGTTTTAGTGTGGTTATTAGTATTACTGACTTGACTTCGTGTGCACAATATTGAAGTGTTAAATGGATGGAGGTAGTTGAGAGAAAACCTTAGTTAGTTAACATTCATCTTCATCAAGGTAATGATACTTCGTAGTGGATTCAAACATGAATGAAACTGATTATCTTTCAATTATCAGTCAATATAAATATTTCAGCTGAACAGGAGGTTGGTCGACGATTGGACTGCTAACATCTTAGATTGTGAGCCCGACTGATCCGGGTTCGAATTCACTAGGAAATATTATTTCATTTAAAATTACAGGTACATCTTGGTGATGAGTGTCAAATAAGACGGGATTTAGGTCGGTACCTGGTTTCTCATCAACTATTTCCAAGCAAATAATAGTTCAGAACTTGTCATAGCTCTACACTTATGACATCATATCGAACTATAATCTAAAACTTCATACTATCAAAATACCTAAAGAAATGTATACAAGTCGGTTATCCTCGTATATAATCATCGAGCTAAATCGCGTTAGTGCATAACGGAATCAAATAGGTGAAGTACGAGAATGGATTTTTGAATAAGTACATATTTCTTACAATCGTTAATCAGAAAGCTCAATTGAGAAGGCGAGTTGAACCTACTTGGTTTAACCAAGTGTGAATCGATATTTATAGTCGAACAAAAATAAGTTACAGACATATGATGAGTGAGCTAAGAAATTAGCATACATACGATCATATAAAAAACAATCAAGGTAAACTAATGAGCAAATAACTGACAGGGTAAAACTTGGCTTGAGAAGAATAAATAAATTGATCTGTCCGAAAGCTAGAATAACCTGTGTGGATTTGATATAGTACTAGGCCTTGCATATTAACACCTTAACTATGTTAAGATGTTAGTATCTTTCTGATAATCGGATTTAAATAAAATCTATATTTCAATGATTAGAACTGTTCAAAAAATTGAATAATAAATTTCAATCATAATTATGTAAGTAATATTGATTAAAAAAATAATAGGCTAATAGTGTATACTACTTATGTTGGCATATATAAGTAGTATGTAGCAGTAGTCGGAAGTGAAATGCCTTTCAGAAGAAAATTAAGGGGATTGAATTGAAGAGAATAGGAATTTAAACAGAAAGTAATTGTAGTCACAATAGGAATGAAGGAGTGATATGAAGTTTGTAAGGGACAACTGATGGAAAATGTTTTACAAAGGCATTCTGTAATGTAGTATGCAATAAAATAAATTGATCTTTTCCCGCCTGAGCTCTCGTTTACTACAAGCTAATATTATCGAAAACATTTCAATCTTGGCTAAGTGAATTGTCCTTTGTAATTTTAATTCTTTTGTTTTCATGTAGTGGGTAAGTACTGTGTATTAAAATATAATCCAAATAATGATTACGTGTCAAGCCCTCAAGTTTACTAAGGTTTTTTTTATTTGGTATATTAGACATATACATAGCACATAGCTGAGAATAACTGCATACTGTTGAAATGTAATGTTTACTGAAACTTAGACTTTAATTATAAAGTATCCAATCAGTATATAAGGGGGAAATGATTGAAATGGCTGAGTATGATAGGGAACCTATGGAAAACTGAACAAGTTTTGAATGACCTTATCTAAATGAGTACATCATTGTCTTTAATAAAAGAGAGACACAGTTACTTTTTTTGTTCTTTTTAAGTGTCAGAGATAATTTTCAGTACAACAATATTCATACTATTAAGATCAGTTTATTCTGTTTTTTAATGAAAATTTGAATAATCGATAGTAAATCAATAAATGATTAGATACAAATTGAAATTACCTGACCATAGTATTCACTCTTGAATCGTTAAAGAATAAAACGCGGTAGCATGTACGTTACTAATGTACTAGTGTAGTGAATGACAACAAAAGTGGAGATGATCAAATGAAGTTGAATACAAGATTACAGTCTCTTAGTGAAATCTGAGAACTATACAGTAAATACTACATTTACAAAATGTCAATCAATTATCTCAGACATTATTGTTCCTACATTTCCATACTAATCACTCTATGTTCTCGTTCTCTTCTCTTCGATCTTCTTAACATTGTACAGTCAGGTATTTCACTTTCAATTGATCATACATATTACTTATATCTGTCTACATCGGTAGCACACACCACACTGGAATTAAATTTAATGGTTATACATTTTTAATCTTAACTTAATAGTGAACATCAGATAGATAATATTTAACAATGAAATGCAGATCTATGTTCATGATTTTACATTTCAACTATCGAGTGAGATTCATTTATGATGGATCACTCTATTTAAATCTAATCAAACAAACTGAGCATGTCATCAAGTGTTGATGTACTTGATGTATCCAAGTCGAAATCTAATATTATGTAACTAATGTAGAGTTAGATTCAATTCACCAACAACGAGAGAAACACATTTATGTATTTATATACATTATCATACATTAAAAAAAACCTAAAACATACAGAAATTGATTACATCATATATCTATTAGTTATTAATAATGAAGTGAATCAAGATTGTACAAGATTTAATTATTGAATAATTCAGACATAAAATTTGATACTTAACTAGTACGCATTGAAACTATTAGATTTCTTTTTTTTTAAAGAAAAAATACACTTTTTTCCAAACAATTACCGTTAGACCTATCTCTCTTCCACCCTTCCTTTTTTCGTTCGTTCGTTCGTTCGTCCGTTCGTTCATTCATTCCCTCCCTTCCTCCCTCCTTCCTTTGTTCCTTCCTTCTGGTAATAACATTACTACATTATTGAAGCAGAACATTTGAAATTTTTACTTATATTAATAAAACGAAATGGATTATTC